GGCAAAGCCGAAAACCTTGGCCGAACTACTGAATGTTGGCCTCGTTTGGAAAGTTGGGAAGAGCCAAGATGGCCGGCCCATGCGCCCCCCCTTTATGACTTATGGCTCAGTGGGTTTTCAGCAGGGGAACTCAATGGGGAAGAGAGACATTGGAGGCCGCATGCCCAAAGCAGCGCTTAATTCGAAGGATCACACCGGGCCTCTTGGGTCCCAGCGGGCTCCTCCTGGAAGTAGCAAATCAAGTTTGGTGTGGTTTGGGGCTTTGGGGGGGTTCAGAGTTTATTAAGTGCCATCATCTCTTGTCCTGCGTTGCAGTTTGGTGCGGCACTGGCGTGGCAGCTGGAGCAGGTGCTTGGCGACCAGATTGAAGCGTCTCTGCCTGTGAGACGAAATCGGGAAGACAGCCGAAACAGGCACTTAGTATGGCTGTTTAAAGCAAACCAAAAAGAAAAGGCGGCGGACCCGCCACTGATTGTACTCGTCTTGGGGCCTTCGAAAAATAGCTTCGCTGTACATGCACATCACATGGCATCGTACCGAGATTCCAACAAGCACAGCAGAGGATGACCACACCTTGCAGAGCCATATGCTCACGACATCACTGACACAAGGGCATGCCGTCAGTCTAACCGGCACATAACCGTACATGGAAGCGTAGTGCAAATGAGAGGCAGTTTCTTCAGCATTGCTATTGCACGCAATACCTTGCAAAGGAAGGCCACGCATTCATGTCTACAAAGCCAAGAGTTGACTCGCCTCCATGCCACACTTCGTTCCTCCCCTGGCCTTGCACCTGAGTCTGAGTCAGGCCATGAGAACCTTTGCTACAGACTTGACAAAGTCTCCAACACCAGCTCGCTCGTGAGGAAAAGGTTGTACAGCTCGAGCTGTGCAGAAGTCAGGTTTAGCCACCTCAGCCGAAAGTGCTCCGTCGGCTCCTGTCATTGGCCGCCTCTGAGCCAACGACAAGATCACGTCCATCTTTGGCGGCAGCTCACCTGGAGCAGCGTCCAGGCTGGCCGCTGGACTCGTAGTATTGGCCTGGTCTTGACATGCGCCCGAAACGAAGTCAACTTCACCTGCCAGCCCTGAGATGCTGGCAACCTCGCACTTAAGTCGCCGCAGGAAATGTGGCGCAGTGAGCCGCTTGAGTTCGCGAGCCTTACTTCTGAGAGGCTTCCTTGAGTTCGCTTCTCTTCAGCATGAGTTTAGGCTTGCACAAGGTGATCTTTCAGCTCGACGGCGAATCGAGAAGCATTCCGCTTCGAGCCTTGCGCGAAAGCATGCGCTGGGTGCGACTTATTTCACAGACTCATCATCTGCCTTTCGCAATCTGTTCCGAGAAGTTCCTGCGCAAAGCTGGGCGCCTTCTCTGTGATTGCAGCGTGTTTCATGTCGGGTCGGGACCTCTCGAAGGTGGCATGATTCCCCAGCAGCGCTGGTTGTGCCTCATTATTCCCCCAATCTCTTTCAAACATTTTGAGTCTCATCTACGCCTAACACATACTAGTAGCGACTTCTCAAATGCCTTGCACATTCCGAACAGAGAGCGGTGCGAAATCCATCAATGCCCAAAGGTCGCTGAGCTTGTTCTGCAACGGGGTCCTTGGGCGCTGCTTGCACTTTTCTCCCGGATTCATCCAGAATCTAAGAGTCTGGCCCTGTGAGCAAGATGCGCGATCGCGCATTTATCCGGCGCAGCACACGGCCAGACTGACTCGATGGATTCTTGATTTGGTGCCCCTCGTCGACGACCAGGACATCCCATGGCCTCCATGGGAACGGCAAGCTTTAGTAAAGCAGGTTGGCGTCTATGAGGTCCATACTTCTGCTCATCATCGACAGGACCCAGCCTAATCTTGTCAATGCTGGCGACTTTCTCGGGAAGCTGGTGCTGCTGGGAAAGCTACAGCTAAGCCCCGATCGATGCGGCATCCTCCTCACTCGGACTGTCATCGTCACGACAGGCACGCCTGGCCAGCAGGAGGACATGCATGGCACATAGGGGCAAGCAGCTGGATCAAGCGGCACCTTGTGCTTCTCTTCCGCTTGCGAGACTGTGAGGCGCTGGCTTCAGTCAGGCCCGCCGTCCCTGCAATATTTGCAGGCAAAGATATGAGAACAAGCTTCTCCGTACCCAAGCGATCGGAAGTTGTCTGAGGTCTCAACGAAGCTGGTGAATACAGGTGCGAGCCAGATCCTTACTGTTGACCCGTTATCGCAATGCATCTCAGCAGAACAACGGCGGCCGCAACCTTTGCATCTCTGTGTGTATCCGGGCTGCCGGCATAGGAGACGAGTAGAACACCACCGCTAGAAACCTGTCGTGACCCGACGATTGCGACGATGCCGTCCGCCGAAAGTCTGGGGACTGCACGTGGCCCCTCAATGCTGCACGCCGCTCGGGCAAAGCTCCGTGCATCACGTGGACCGCCAAGCCGGTGTTCTGAGCCTCTTTCGCGATTTTAGTCTCTCCTACCACATGACAAGTGGTGTCTCGGAAGCCGGCCCAAGCATCAAGCTCTCGCCGCCACTGCTCAAGAAGAGTGACGGGCACTACAACGAGGAAGCGGGATCCTGAACGTTCATGAGTCCAGGAAGCCAACACCATTATAGGCACATGCCCCATCCTTGATTCGTGAACTTCAGACAGGCCAAGAAGGCCGCCGTCTGCACGGTCTTACCTAGGCCCATCTCATCGGCCAGAATTCCACCAAAGCCTCACAGAAAACGACTGGCAAATCTTGCAATTGCACCGTCAGGATGAAGTGAGGCCATCGCCCTTGTGGTATAGATTCCACATCCAAACCACTCCCTGACGTTGGTAATGATACAGACGGTCGTAGACAGAGCGGGGAAGCTTGATGTCCGACGTAGAGAAATGCAGCGAGCAAACCTTTGTCACACACGCCGCATCACAAACACAGCTGCACAAGAAACGTGTCGCAAGATGAAACACAGAACTGCCGTGGGACCTCATCGGAGACTTCCCATGTGGCAGATGCTTCCGGCGGCAAGGTGCCGCTCCACTGCTCTGCCTACATCTTACAGATCATTAGTGCTACACGTGGTGCGGCACGAAGTCAAGCTCGAACTACGTTACCTTACACGAAAACTGTGCGGCGGACAAGGCCACCATCTGCCGCGACGATCTGGTGATCATCCTGGTCAGCGACCTCCGCCTGCGCAACTGCTCTCTCCCTCCAGAAACTTCCCACAGCCTCCGGGCCTTACTACGAAGCAAAAGCGGAGCGCGCCTGCTCCTTCTCCGGTGGATCGTCTTCAAGCGCTTCCTCCTCGCCCTCCTCAGCCTGATCCGGTTTTTGGGCCTAGAGGCTTACCAGGGTCACAGTAAACGACGCGGCAGCGCTCCTCCTCCGTGGCCTTGTCCGGGGTCTCCAGTGGCTCCTGCGTCTCGGCTGTCTCGAGGTCCACATCCTTGACGGCGCTCGGCAACGCCGCTGCTTCTGCTTCCTCAGGTTGCTCAGACTCCTCTTCGGACTCCTCCTCCGGATCCTCCGGGTCCTCTGGTTCCTCCGGGTCCTCCGGGTCCTCCGGGTCCTCCGGGTCCTCCCCGTCCTCCTGCTCCGTCTCCTCAGCTTCCTCATCTTTTGGCTCGGAGTGCTGCTCAAGCATGTTCACATCCTGACCAGCATCCACCATCATGGCATCTGTGCTCCTTGGTGGCTCTCAAAGTCAAACCTGAACACGAAGCTGCCGAAGCTGAATTTAAAGCTCATATGTCCCACAGGCAGTCAAATATTGAGGCAAGCATCGCTGCACTAAGACCACGTTCGTTCGGAGATGAAAGGTCCTAGCAACCACTGGGCGTGGAAATCGAGACTCTAGGACCCCTAATTTGTCCATGTTGGTGGCTTGCAAGCCGCCCTTACTTGCACATGAGGGTTTGCATCATGTTGCAATGCTGCGTGGTCTGTCGGAGGCACAAACTCAAAACAACTGTTCAAGAAAAGGGTGTACAAAGCATCTGCACTGGTCGTGGTCCTGAAATAGACGCTGACGAACAGAGCCACCGCCTGGAGCGCAACAGCTGTCGTCAAAAGGCAAGGATCGGCACAGAGCTGCTGCACTTCGTCTCACCAATCCTACTGCTGTAGGATACACTGCAAACACACGATGTAAATTCCTCATTCCGAGCTCCAGACCCATCTCTTCACTTTTTTCTGCACATCGTGCGCGACTCTCCGAATCGCCTCAGAGCTGCAACCGCCGAATACCCTATGGGGAAATCCATGCCGAACTACTATTCAGCGTTCTGTCCGAGGTTTGCAAGACTCCTTCATGAGACCAGTGCATTGTGCACTCAACACCCACTTGTACAGCACTCCAAAGGTGGGGTCTTTAAGCTCTTGTGCTCCCGCCGACAGGAACAGACAAGGAAGGCGCTGCCCGGAAAGGCAGCCGAGGAATCCGAGACTGCTGCTTGCAGACTCCTCAGGGTCTCGAATGGGACTGAAGGATGGTGGTGACCTTCCAGCTGTCACTCCGAAGCTATGCCGGTCTTGGACTTGGACCCTCTCGGACCGCGGCTGACTCATGAAGGCCGCACGGGCCTGCGACGCTGAGGCATTCGGAGAGAGGCCTCCCGACACCGACAGGTTCTTCTCTTTCCTCACAACCCGCTGCAATGGGGTCGGCCTGACATCTCGGGGAGGAAGGGGGCTCATCCCTTCAGCTGTTGAACCACTCGCGGGCAAATCCGTCTTCGAGCACTTGCAAAAGATCGCAAAAGCATCGCATGTACGGTGATACATTCAGCACAGATCATGCAGTTTCCCGGGTTCCGCGGAGCCTGAGTTCGCTGTTTTGCTAGCGACGCACTGTCACCGAGTCACCGAGCCCAGGAGCTGGACTGAAAATTCTCCGGCTGGGGGTGAAACTGCTCCTCCACTGATTGACATAAGCATACTATAATATACTATAATATACTACAATATACTATAATATACTATAATATACTATAATATACTATAATGGTGTCATTGAGAAGCCATGGCAGGTGGCCGCGATGCCGGCGTGTCCTCGACTGATCACTGGGGGTCGCCAAGAGCCAAGAGATGCTAGCTGATAAACTTGTACAAAACAGGAGAAAGCACTCCAATCATGGTCCTTCGGGATCTTCTTGTAGATGTCCTCTAGCAAGCAGAACACGGTCTCACCGAGCAATGCATCACGCCGTACCTGCCTCGCGGCACTGCGCCATCACGTCGAGGAGCTTTTGTGCCCCCCCTCCGGTCTCCTGCTTTGCCCCATCGATGCAAAAACCATTCACAGAGACTTGGTCAACTTCACGTGCTCCTCCTCCGGGCCGTTGGCGTTCAACAGGTAGTACTGCTGTGCCGCAAAGAAGCACCTCCGGTAGCAGCTGCAGACTTTCCTGTCTGTGCAACTTGCAGCATGCCATGTGTCCTAGCTTCCGGCAGCTGCCTCGGTTACCTTCTACGGTCTTTTCAAACTTCTTGAGACATACAGAATCTAATGGCAGTCTTTGCATGACGGAAGACGCCTATATCGGCTGTTTTCGCTCCAGCTTTCAGTGGCGATCTCGGCCATGGTAGCCTTGTGTGCCGTCAATTCTTTCCGTTACTGGCACGTCGGCTGAGCAGAGGAGGCATAAGCTTGCCTGCATTTCCTCCACTTCTTTCTGCTCCTTGTCTGACATCCTTGGAGACATATGACATCAAGGTCTACGAGAAACGCCGAGACAAGGCTCGGGCTTCATCTGGCGCTTGACCCAAACAAAGCTCAGCACCCCCAAGTTGACCACCGCGCTCTGGCAAGCGACATGCAAGCGATGGCGTCTCAATTCACAGCTGGATTGATCAAAAGTTCAAGCTTGCCAAGAACACGCTGTAGATCAGCTTTTGCGGTAGGGTCAGCCCCCTGAGAAACCGGAAAGCTTTCAGTGGCAAGGGGGAGTCTGGAGTCTGAGTGGGCCGCTTCCAGCCTGCCACACGAGTCGACATCGGACCTGCTCAAAGCCCACAAGCAGCTGTGCTGCTGTGCTGGTGCTTTTTTCGTGTTGCAGCTTCTCAAATCCCCCAATAGCCACGCAACTTCCAGCCCATGCCCCAAGCCGCCTTGCGCTTGTTGTTGGCTCTAGGGGCTCCGGACGTATGGTGTTCGGTGACAGTTAAGATATTATGTCGCCTTTCGTTTGTGACGTTCTTCCACTGTCGTGGGCTAGTGGCTGTCTCAAGAGCTACGATCTGTTTGTCCACAGTCAATCGCACTTGCTCCCATGATCTTGCATGATCTAATTGCCCACTTGGGCCAGCTTCCGTTCATCGACACTTTCCGTGAACCACATACAACACTTACGACACGCTTAAGGTTGCTTCAGACATGCACAAATGCGGGCTCTATTTTGAATCTACACAACTCACGTTTTCTTACTGCGGTGTTGCGAACATCTGTACGGGTGGTGCAGGCATAGCAAAACATATGGATCCGGCTGTAAACATAAAACAACAGTTCAACAGCAAAGTTTCCTGTAGAACACCTTTGCTCAGCCTTGCAAGTCAAGCACCCACGAAATCGGACCGAGCGAGGTGACTCTGTGTCAGCGACTTTGCATTCTGCCACCCTGAACCAAACGGTACCTTTGCGGAAGTTCGTTGCGCACTTGCCCATCTCCGGAAAGTGGCGACCACAGTCATGCCTGTTCATCCGTGCCGGGCCCGTGAGATCTGCTATCCTGCCAGATCCCTACCTTGGTCTTCCAGATGTGCTTGGGTTCTAGAACGTTTTGCTCGGTGTCTTGTCACTTGATGCTTGCAAGATCTGCTAGCCATTTGGCACTCGCATGTGAGAGTTTGGCGATGCGGACAGCGCAAACAGCACCCTTCCACACTGCAAGCCAGCCATTCGGTACTCCTAGCACCCCTGGTGATGTCGAGCACTTTCGAAGACTTTGTCCGTGAAGGAGCTACGGTTGGAACCGATACCGTAGATTGCCCGGAAGAGCGGCCGAAAAGACGCTGCGGGAATCCTGGAATCCTCCACCTCGAGCGGCACGGCTGGTATGCAGCGTCCAGCAGTCCGTGCATTTCGCGGGCGACAAGGGGTATCCAGATCCTGGCTCTGCGGAGCCTCTTTGACTACTCAGTACACTTGATAAGCTTGGCACCATCCCCCACTCAGATTATCATCAAAACATGTCTCACACAATACTTCTCTCCTCCCACCCAGCTGTTTTCGCAGAGAAACGGAAGTCTGTTCGATCACTCTTTGCCTGGGCAAATGCGGGAACTGCATCTTTCAGCAGCTGGCCCAGGAATCGCTGCTGTTCAGACTTAACCAGCTTTCGCCAGTCATAGTATGGAATCTCTACTACTGTCCAGCCAGAGGCCCGCAAGAGCCGTATTCGAAGAGCTGGCAGCTGCTGCCACGGTACACTCGAAGCCGAGGCACCAAGATCTTCTCCCTCGCCATCTACGTTGAACCATCTTTGGTCTGCATCCTCCAGGACATCGTCAAGACCCGCGGCCACGAAGTCTCCAGGGATTGGTCCGTGATCTAATTCACTCTCCGCCGTCCGTCCCCAGCCGGCGTCCGCCCAAGCTTCCCGGGGCCCCTCGAAAAGATCACCCTTCAGTCCTACCTCCACTGCGAGCTTCAAGGCGGGAAGAGCCAAGCGCACGTCGCAGCAAGATGTCGGGTGCAGTGCCTCGAGCTTTGGCACGGGTGGCTTCAATCGGAACTTCTCCGCCAGGAGCTTCTCCAGTGCTTTGAACACGCTGCGCTCGTATGATTGCAGGCAGTCAACCGACTGGCCGGAGACCTTCTCCAAGGGCATGTGGCACTTCTGAACAAGACACGAAAGAGTGCAACTCATGTCGCAGCTCACTGCTGTTGCCAAGAGGCTCTCTCTGGCCGCTGCACCTCGTGGAAGCGCGTCGCCGCAGCATCGCTGAGGTCGCCAGCCTGCACCCTTGGCGGAGGCTTCGAAGAAACTGTCCGAGAAGTTGCAAAGATAGCCAGGAAGCCCAAACTCCAGGGACGCCGAGGCCACAACCTGAGCAGCGCTTCTTGCGCTCGCAGCCTGACGCCCCAGCTTTCCTGACTTTCAGCTTCCTGCAGTTCGAGTAATCTCCGCTGTCGCAGAGCTCTCCATCCTCAGGACAGACCGAAGACAGAAGACACACACACACACACAAAGCTTGGCCATGCTTCCGGGCTGCTGCAGCCACACGTCCAGGCTCTGCCGCAGGAGGACCTGCCTTGATCCAGTGAAGCTCTTCTTGGCCCATGTGCTCCGATGCCTGACAAGCCCCTGGCCGGAGGTCTCCAGCCTGGTCCAAGGCCAAGGGATTTCATGTGTGACCCAGTTGTGTCCCTTGTCAGCGCCTCCTTCTCTTTGAGGTCCTGGTCGCCCTGGCCCTGGCCCGCTGACCTTCACTGCCATGAACTGTGGACTGCCTTGGTGGTTCTGTCAAGTGGGGACCAGGCCGGTCTTTGCAGGGCCCCCAGAAGGCAATGCCAAGCCTTAGTTCTCAAGACACTTCCCCTCCGCTGCGCATGAGAGACGTCATCCACTCCACGAAGCCGTCCTTGCCGAAAAGGACCGCCCCCGAAAGCACATCGCCGAGGCCTTGACAGCAGCTGGCGCAAAGCCTTCTCCGGGAGACGCGGCACTGCATCGACCCGCAGGAGAGCCTGGAACAGATCACGATTGCTACATTGAAGGACCATGAAGGACTGCCCGGCTGCATGAAACCACTATGTCACTATCCTGTAGTAGATGACACAATTCTTGCAACAGCGCACACCCTCGTAGCTTCTCAGCCTTCATGGCACGGACGAGGAACTCTAGGATGGTCGCGCGATACTCCGGCGCCACCTCAACAGTCCAAAGGCATCAGCCAAATCATGCGGCGCAGCCGAAGGTGACGATGAGGAAGGCAGGACACCGAGTGAGGCGATCCCAACTTGGCATACGCGTAGATGGCTTGCGGCAGGTCCTACACGAAGAAATGTGGTTTCGAGCGAACGTTCATGAGCATGCAGGTGCGTGCTGGCGCATTCTGCCAACATGCGATCCTCGGCAGGAAAAGGCAGTTGCCCAAGTCCGGTTAAGGACTTGGTTGAAGCAGCGTCCAACTCCTCGCCGACAGAGCAGAAGGAGTCCCCAGCATGCGCGGCAAAGATCGGCAAAGCAACACCTGGGATGCATTCGTGGCCAGAGCGGCCAGAAGGCGCCAGTCCTACAGGGGACAGAAGCATCCAGCCCAGGGAAGTCTCCCTTGCATCCAAAGCGGTCCCTGAGGCCGACCAAGGCCCAGATGCGCAGCACGTCTGCCTGCTCTTTTGGATTGCAGATTAAAGTCAAGAAGCTTCCTCTCCCCAAGCAAAACTAGAGCCCACGGGCTGGCGGGCTGGCGTCTAATCGGTGATCCAGTGATCCCTCCCCTTTTTAAGCTGCGGACACCACTGGTCACTCGTGCGCATCCCGCCCGGGTCAGGGCTTCTGCCGGAGCTTTCCAGCTCCCGCATCCACTATGCACAGTCGACGCGTCGGAGCTCAAACTCTACGTCTGCGCTTCATCGTTGCATTATCACGCGCGGGGCAAATGTGAAACAGCCTTTGGTTTTCACAGAAACTTCCGACGATCCAGCCGACAGTCACTCCTGAGCAAGAAGAGCCAGAAAGTCGATATGTTTCAATGCTGGAGAAATCCGAACCCTGCTCGAAGACAAGAAGCCTTGTTGGAACGGGAGGTGGAGCGACCATTACAGGACACACGGCCATCTTGGATGCTGTTTCTTTCATGAGGTCATCCAATGCCTTTGGATTCTTCCCAATCCTCAGCGCAGCGAGTGACAGCATGTGACAGCAACCAAACAACAGACCATGGTGCCCGCAGAGGACAGGGCGAAAGACGACTTTCCGTGCATGGTTATCTGCATACAAGGTGCTCAGAATTCATCTCCTGGCGGGAATCGTGACACTTTGCGGCCAAGCCACAGCAAGGCTCTGCGCAGTGTCCAGGCCTTGATGGCACCTTCGATCTGCTCCCGCAGCATCTTGATGTCATCAGGATTGGCCGCGCCTCCTCGGCGTGTGGAACTTGAGGGCTGGGGAGCGTGCTCGCAGAGCCACCCCGAAGCCGCGGCTAGAGGGAGCCAGGTCAGCCAGTTCTACATGTTTGTGCTCAACATGGATGAGGGGGTGCTTGCGTTTTCTACAGGCTCTCGGACATCGGTCTTAGACGTTAGGTCTTTAAGTAAGCGCGGAAGGCTTCAGACAGAAGCTTGCGCGATGCCAAGACTCTGCTCTCGACGAGTGCTGTGTCCAGCTCGCGCACGTAATCTCGACGAACGTCTGGCATGGCTTTCAATAGCTTTTGCATCTTGGGATGCCTCGGGCCACTACTGTACTGCAAACGTCAGATGTGAGATTGAAAACTCCTGGGTCCGCTGCATTGTGGACAAGAGCTTCTCGGCAGTCAGGCCACCCCAAGGGTCACCTTCCGGATTTCTGCAGCCCCGATGCCACAAACACCGCGAAACACCCCACCTGAATCATGGCCAGCATCCGGAGGTGGGAGGCCATGAGCTGTGAAGGCACTGACGATGGCAGTACCTCAAAAGCATCTCAAAACTCTGCATCTGCACAAGCGCTGCCAGCATCCCTACAAGGCCCGCACCCAAACCAGGCATCACTTCAGTCGCCAGCGACTACGGATTGACGGCAACTTGTCGGCTGCGGGGTTCCCATCGAGATTTCACATCAACCAAACAGCTGCTTGCATGAAAAGGAGGGCCAGGAATGCACAGGTGCTGCACCTGGTCTCGGAGTGACAGCAAGCTTCTGGCCAGCGCCAACTGCACACTGATGCTCAATTTCCGAAAACGATACCTGCCGCGCCAGGGCTGCAAAGGATTATCCTCTCCGCTGGGAAATCCGCCCGCGGACATTCTGGCCCGAAGCCCGGCCTCAACTGCGACACAGGGATCACCTGGCGAAGCTGGGCCAAGGAGTTGGCAACGGCCACAATCTCGGGGCCTCACAACAAGTAGCTTGCTACCGTCGTCGGCACAGCCGCAGCAACCACAACTTGCCACAATCCGGACACAATGAACAAGAACCCGTATGTTACTTAACTCTCCCGCCTCGATGTCGTAATCGCCTTTCGGATGACTGCAAAATCTCTGCTGCCATGGCCTTGGAAGGCTTCTCTTGTGAGATGCCTCAAGGAAAACTCGCACGACCCGGCCAAAGGACGCTGCCACGTTGCGGTGCAGAACTCCGCAACCCTGAAGGCGGTTCAAAAACTTCGCGAGATCTCTCGGGGAGTAGTTTGAGGATGATCTCCTGAAGCCGAAGCATATCTTGATGGCTGGAAGCCTCGTGAAATGTGGGGCACGTCGAGTCCTCAGATGCGCTACAGCAGCCTGGATCAAGCCTCAGGAGCAAAGCCACGTGGGAGTCGAGTTCACATGACAAACCTGGCAAGCCGTCCTTGTGGAGGACGCGTTTGGGCCGCAAAAGGTTGCAACACCTGTGAAACTTGCCTGGCACGGGGCAATGAAAATGCCGCATACCCGCGAATCGCTGATGAAAGATTGCTCAAACCCGTTGCTGCTTCCCCAACCAGTGAAGTGTTTGCCATACTACAAACTGAGTGGAGCACATGGCAGAGTGTCGGACACTACAAGACTCGATCACAGCTGAGTCTAAGTTGACCCATCTCCATTTCCAACGAAAATCTAGCAACCTAGTACTCAACAGTGTTACGTAGTATTACCCGAACCAATAATCATTTGACAGCATGGCGATGGCGATGAAATTTGTTTTCCTCTCGTGCAACTCAATCCTGTAGGTCGTTTCTGGCACGGGCTAGTTGTGCAGAATAGACCTTGACCGAAGGCAGTGGCTGTTGCTTCTCCATTGATGCTTTCGATTTCTTCCGGGTATACACAGACCAAAAACATTTATAGTCCCGGCTTTCATCAGCGTTTGATCAAGTCCTTTGTCTTTTGGCGGCCCTTTGCAAAGCTCGATCCGACAACATCACGGTGAGTAGGCAGGGTAGGCCGGGTAGGCATCAGCACCAAGGAATTTATTGCAGGATAGCAGCCCACCCAGCTTACTCCAGTCTGCGCGCTTCACTGCCAGCCGTGTATGTTAAAGGGCAGAACGGGTGTGGCCTAGACAAAACCCCGGAGCGTGGCTGAGCCAATGAAGCGTCAATTCAATGCAGTCTGCAGCGGCCAGCTCTGAGAACCGGGTCTATACAGAAACACACACACACACACACAGACATTGTTTCTTTCAAGGTTTGCTCGGGGTTGCTCTCAAAATATGGCCAGACAAGTTGCCCTGGGGATGTGTTGTGTGAAGGGGGCTGTGAGGCCAGAGCTCGCATAGCTTCGTTGCGAATGGTCTGTGAGTGGGATTGGTCTGAAAACTTTGATGCAATTAATGGACTTGATGCGGTTGAATTTTTGCACAGGCAGAGAGAATGGCTGCAGGATCCGACAGAGCTATCCGGCATGCGCTGTGGCAGACCTGTGACGATACAGCAAAGCTGTAGGCTCGAACCACTCGTTCTGAAAGAGCCCTCCCCGACTAGACTCGCTAGCCAGACAATAGACAGATACTACGATGCTACCCAACGCCCAAGACCCCAAAAATCCACGGCTACGCCGCGTGTTCGCCTGGGTGTCCACGGGGTAGATGCCTGCTGGAGCGACTGAGCTGCATGTTCACCGAGCTGAACCAAGTGGTCCTCACCTTAGGCTTTCGGATTTGGATGGATTTGGGTTTGGGGCTGCTGAACTCAGGGCTCTCTTCAGTGATCTACCGCAACAGGAGCCAGCTTGCTTTCACAAGGGCTCCATATGAATCAAGTGTATCCGGCTTATACAACAATTCAGCGCTGGTATGGGCTTCTGCTTCGTTTGCAGCATGCTGCTTTGAAGTTGCGCCATGCCGTACCATTGTCAAAACAGGGCTGGCGAGGAGCGAGGATTACGCAATGGTTTGAGAATGCACTGCATGTCCAAAATCAGTACAGCCCCAGGTTGCCAGCGATTTCTCAAGTAAAATCCGGAGGGAATCTCAAAATCTTGAGGCACCAGCTCCAGCTTTGTGCCAAAGCATCCTGTGCCTTTGGCACTCGGAAGGCAGTGCACCACAGGAACAGGCTCTCTTAGCAGCAGCCCAAGAGCTAAGGCTGGGGCAGTCCCAAGGGCAGACGAGAACATGGAGAAGTCCTCTGCGGAAAAGCTCCCAAGACCTGAAAGCACCACGGGATTTCCAGAAGGACTCCCCGTGCTGCTTGGCCCTCTGCGTGGCACAGCAGCCTTTGTGAGGCCGCTCAGGAGATCTTCGCCTGGAGCGAGCAACGTAACAAGCGCGAGGCCGGGGAACTGCGAACCCTCGGCGCCGCGCTGAAGTGTCGCAGCTTGACGAAGGCAGCGGCACTGGCACTCAGCCCCTGGCAGCGCTCGGCTCCCTCCCCATGAGGACCCAGTGCTGTAAGCTTTCCTGCGGCAGAAGCTCTTCCACCTTCACGAGGAGCTGCGCCTTCCGTGAAGCGATGAGAGGCGAGTGCATGCCGCCGTGCCGCCGTCTCTGCTCACTGCCTCAAGCCTGTTCAGAAGAGAGGACCGGAACTCGGCGCTCCCTGCAGGCGAAGTGTCCACCAAGATCCTGGGCTCGCCAACCAGCCGCTCGTGACCACCGCTCTTGAGCTCGCGCAGCCGAGCCGAATCGTGTTTAATTGGGTCGCTGTGCACACACCTTATCGTGGGCATTCGCTCGGTGCTGTAGCTTTTTCGACTTGTTGCTTTTGCACAAGCGTTACGCGAACACGAACCCAAATGTGCCACGGCACCGTGGATGCACAGCACATGCACAGCACATAAACATCATAAACGCTAATCCGCTAATCGGGATTATGTAGTTTCGTGGTCCAGCTTTTTTGCTGGTCCTTCCCCCATCAAGCAGCGAAAATGAGTGGGCAAGTGAGGCCCGGCGCCCGTGGTTAGAAACAGATCTCGCATTTCCTTTAGACCCGCGTTTGCATTCGTGGACGCCGAAATTCCAGCTGAGCGAATGCTTGCTCCAAACGGGTCGCTTGTTTTTTTCGTGAGTGCATTCGCCTGCCGCCGGCCTCGACACCTCTTCTGCCGCCGGAAGCACTGCCAGGGGCTGACCGCATCGTTGCAAAACCCACGCGGGCGAATGCACAGAAAAACAACACACTGGTTCCTCCAGGACCGGAATCAGGTCTTTCTCCTAAGAACTGTACTTATGGATTGTCCTGCTGGGCGAGAAGAAGCACTGACCGAATTCCGACAGAAAGCATGTCACGCCTTGTTCGATGCACTCAGAAAGTTGTGCTCAGCTCGCCACGCCGAGACGTTGGTTCGGGCAGGAGAGACCCGTGCCAAAGCACACACAATGTGACAAACCTCAGCTTGCAACAAGCTGGACAAACATGCCGCAGAGAGTTGCTGGGTAGCAGGCTGAAAGCCCACCAAGAGAAGGAGCGACCTTGCACCAAATGCACGTTTCAGCCGCAGCACGCATGCGACAACCGCTGTGTGCCGGGCATCCATGACATGCCCCAGCAGAGTTGAGAAGGTATTTCGATCATCCTGCGTCGTTTTTCTGTCCATGTCATGTCTTCCCGACCCAAGCTGCTTCGCCTTCTTCACGTAGCGCAACTTGGCCAGGTCCGCCACGACAAGCGACAGCTGGGCCCTCACACCGAACAACGTTCTTCGAATGCTGGTACTGCGCAGCATGCATGGTCAGGCTCCGGCGGGCTGAGAGTGTACGGGGCGGCCTCCGAGGAACCTGAGCACATGACATGACACCGAGAAACACCGAGCGATTTTTTCGAGGTCATCGCCGAGACTCCCCAGCACCTGGCATGAGGACACCGCTTGAACGCGGCGTTGGCTGTTCGCGATTGTTCGCGGTTCCGGCCTTCATCTCGAAGTTCGAAGACCACTCGTCTAGGAGCAGGCGGTCGTAGATGTTGGCAGCGGCTAATCCGTGCAGGAGCTCGCAAAGGCTCGCCTGGGAGCAGCTGCCGATCATTTCGAGCATCTGGGGCAGCAGCGGCTCGATCGCGCATTGACGAGCACTCACACCCTCGAGCTTGGAGTATCCGGAGATGATGGATGCCAAATCACGAGGTCGCATGGTGTTCGCCCTCCAATTTCGGGTCACCTCTCTTTGCAGCTGTAGCAGAGTGTTGTCATCCAGTTGCTTGAGTGCTCCGAGATCCAGGAGTGCGCTTGCAAGTTGGCGCGGGGAGCACAGCGGCAGCTCCTTGACTAGCCTGGTTCGGAGCCACATTGCCAGAGACCTTGTGCCCGCATCCGCCACATCCATATCCGACATCTGAGTGACTGACCTCAACAAGGAGATGAATCCTGTAGCTTCCAATTCCTTCCCAGACTCCTCGAGACGCTGCAGCCGAAGATGAACAGCCTCCAGGACACGCTTCGCTGGCAGGCCCGTGCTCTCCAAGCGCCGGCGAAAGACAGCAGTGAAGCGGCAGATCTGCGCAACATCAATCGGGCTGAGCTGCTCCAACGATATCTCTGCATGCGTGCCTGCAAAAACTCGATCTACCAAGGTGCCAAAGGCTGGCATCCAAAGTTCGACACGTGCAAGGGCATTTGCTGCCAAACAAACGTGCTTGCTTTGGCCTGCCAGGTGTTGGGAAACGAGCTTGTCGACCAGGAACCGGATGAAGTGCTCATCCCGTGACATGTCGACAATATGGTTGAGCACAAGTGCAGCCTCTGCAGGTGTTCTTGCCTTTCTACCAGCCTGTCGAAGAAGCGCAAGCGCATTTGAGGTGCTGGTTTCCCTTGATTGGAGAGCTGATTCACACAGTTTCCTGAAGTCGGCAATCCCGCCAGTGCTGGCCGGCAAGAAAGCCTTCTTTGGGCTTTCCTGGGGTACGTCGCGATCTCGCCTCTCTCTCCTTCCAAGGAGCACGGGAGGTCGGCCGCGCAAGAGCTTGCTGGGCATCTGAGTGGCCACTGCTCGTCCATACTTTGGAGCCGCACCGCAGCGTCGAGCCAGGTGCCACATGGCAGAGTGAGCTTTGCATGGTGGCACGAGGCCTCTTCTGGGCAATGGCAGCAGAACGCCGCATCATTGCACGCTTGTGAAAACCCTCGACTTCCCCGATGCTGTGCAAACTGCCTTTGAGATGTGGGTGCCCTGCATGAAGGCATGTGCGAGACAGTATCTTCTATCTTGTGGTATGTCTCCGTTTCTCTGCACATCTCCAGCTCTGACATCCAGATGCCACACTTCAGGGGAAGCTTGCAGGGCTCACCGAAAGATTCTGCGCGGCTGCATGATGGAAGGAGCCTTTTGCACAAGACGCTGGCTGGTCGGCTGGTCGAGAGGCTACAGCCAAAACTTGGAAAGTGGGCTTTTGCCCACTCCCGCTTACTTCAGCGACGGGGGCCCTGCAGAAGCTGAATAGTCATCGTCTCCCCTGCAGGATATTGCATAAAGATTGGCCCACGTGTCAAGAGACAGCTGTGCAGCTGCGAGGCATCGAGACCGAAAATCACAAGCCGCTTCGGGCTTCGGGAAAGCCTTGGCTTGATGATGGGATCAGGTGAAACTCCTGGATTTGATGATGACCTCCCAGGGATGCAATTCCCAAGCTGAGAAGCGGAAGGGACTGAAGCGGATATAGCCAGTTCGGTCTGCAGTCGTATCACTTCCTTCGAAGTGCTGTCGTGACTCTCAAAAGCATTCTTTTTGTGCCGGGTTGCTGTCAAATTAAGGGTATGTATGTATGCACAACATAAACAATTGACTGACGGTGGAAAAGTCAGCCGTTTACAACTCTATGTTATAAACTGCTCGGAAACTAGGAGAAGCTGTTGGCAAGTCAACCTTCTTCGTCGATGACCATGGATTGCTCAACAGCCTCGATCCACTCAACAAATTCTGGACGGGTCAGTGACGGCTTGACTTTGCCGAAATGGCGATACATCAAACTGGAGAGATCTTCCGCCGTGATGCTATGCAAAGGCAATGCATCTGCGAGCTCGAAAACGGTCATTTCACGTGGGCTCTGCTTCTTCACTCTGGAGAAGAAGGTTGTCAAATCTCTACGCCGCTCCGTCGTCGGACGGCCGCGCGTGGCCAGCATGAATAGAGCTCGGCACTTCCTCCAGCTCAACAACCCACTGCCGTCGTTATCAACCATTCGTATCAAGTTCTTGGCAAGGCGTTCTGAAGTCGCACTGAAGCCCAGCAGCTCCATGTTGTTTGCTAGCTCCTGGGGCTTCACAAACCCAGAGTTTGCGGCATCCCAGCTGGTGAAGATGCTTGAAACCTCCGACTTCAAGTTGGGCGGCAGCTCGTCAAACAGAGCTTGTCCCCGATTGACATTGCGTATGGCAATCTGCCGCAGGTGCGAATCCAGGTATGCTCGAGACTGACCGGTCATGGCTTTTGTGACAGAATCCGCTTGCGCCCAGGTCTCACCAGTCACAAAAGCTCTCGACTCCATGCCCTGAAGATGGATCAGGCGTGTACAGTCTCTTAACAAGCCCTCGATGCCAGCAACCATCACCTGTCTCACCAGACCCCTCTGGTTATCCTTAAACCAAGCGTTAGATTTCGTGCGGGTTAGGGCTGCGCGAAGCGTCAAGCGCCTGACCAGACTGGGCACAAGCCAGAACAACATCAGAGGCCACTCAATGCAGGCCAAAGCAAAGGGGATCGTCCTGTCAGGCCCATGGATGCTGCCATTCAGCAACTCCACAATTAAGGAAGCCACCACAGCTGCCTGGAGGAAGCATAGGAGCTTGAAAGCAACAGTGTAGTCCTGCACCATGTAGAAGGACGAAGTCAATCCATGCTCTTCCCTTGGAGTTGGCCGAATCCGTGGCCAAGCCGTGCCGTCGATTCCTGGCATCATGGGCCGGAAGCGCCGCCCTGACTGGCTAAGAATTTTGGAGACTGCTTCCTCCGGTGTGCGTCCCAGCCAAGAGGAACGGCGGACCATTTGGATCGAGGTGCCTGTGAAGAGCCGGAGGACCTCGCGGGGATCTTCAGGGACTTGTGGGGTCAGCTCCCATGTGTCTTCCTCCAGAACGACGGAGTAGATCAAGCCGATGGCAAACAATCCCCAGCAACAGAAGCACTGCATCAGCTGTGCATTCACGGAATCCAGCGCCAGGCAAATTGATGTGACAACTGCCACGACAAGCAGGGAGACGAACCATGTTGTCACGTCGACCTCAACCAATGCCAGGACCTTGCGTCCGACATACTGCGCAATCCAGCATTGCTGAAATTAACATCACTTAACTTATGTGGCATATGGAATGTGAGAAGTTGTGCCCGGGCTTGAAATTCTGTTCGCTGGGGAGGAGAGCAGGGGCCGATGTCTCGTGTCCTGTAAGGCGAGCAGATCCCTCCACACCACTCCAGTAGAGTTGTGCACACGGTGAAGCACGGAAAAAGACAAAGATCTAGGTAATTGTGTAGCTTGCCCTCGGGTTGAGGAACCTGATGACTCGCAAGTGGTGTGGTCATTGCGAGACGGTCAAATGACCACTGGTGATACTGGTGGTGGTGGTGGTGATGGTGGTGGTGATGGTGGCGGTGGCGGCAGGCGACACATCCTCCACAGCTTGTAGGGCCTAAAACGCTTTACGCCACGGAGGTCTTTCGTCACTTGTCTTGCCCGTGGCACCTCACCCGGTTTCACCCACCGTACGAGATTACTGTGCTGCACACAGGGCCAGCCACCGATGCTGCAACTCTATTCGCCCACCAAGATGACGTACCCTCCGAGTGGTGAGCAAACGCGCGTTTAAACGTTCACGAAACAGGTTGAGGTCAACGATACTCTTCCGTGCGATGTCCCACATTTCCTGGGACTAGACGAAAAACTAGTTCACAAGAATGCTTGAGTCTCTAAAGGTCGAACGCGGCTTCCGAAAGCGGCAGACAATAGACGTCAGGTTTGATGAAGCACGAAGCATTCTGGCGGGCATCGTCGGACTACGCTGCTCTCCGGACTGCCTAGCAGCTTGCACACGACTGAATCTACTTCGGCATACACATTTTGCCGGTCACATCCCACCTTTAAATATGAGTGGCTCCCGAACGGACAAACAACTCCCTACCCCCTAGATGCTTACGGCAAAGACGACTTATGAAGCTCAGCAGCAATCTGACCCAGCTGCTGCTCGAGAAAGGATTCGAAACTGAAGAGTCCAGGGATCACGCCCCCCTCCTGGGCTGGCGCTTAGGGGAACCTCCAGAAACGGTTACTGCTGTTGGGTCTGTTTCACATTTTGATGCACAAAGATCCAGACTTCTAACCACTGCCCAGTCTCATTGACCAGCCTCTCACTTTGGGGCCCGTCGAAGAGAAATCCGTGCCGAATGGATCGCCACATAATCAATTTGTGTACCTCCTTGGTGCGCAAACCAACCCTCTCCAGTGGCGAATCCCCATATCCGAAGTTCTTCACCGGCTGGAGCTCGTAGCCAGTGATAGAGAAGGGGTTGTCTACTCTCTTCATGTATCCGGCATCGACCAGCTTACTCTCCATCGATCTTTTGCTCTTGCCGAACGCACGAGTGCTCTCGTACTCTGCCCATGTCTCTGCTGTTTCACGTGACAGCTTGAGCACGGCAAAGCCTTGAAACAGCAGCACAACCAGCAAGAGGAATGTCGCCATGTGCACGTACTCGAAGGTTTCAGGCAATATATTGTACTCATCAGCCCCGAGAGAAATGAGTGGTGTGTCTTCCGGCAGTAGATGGGTCAGCACAAACAACAGCAGACCGATGAATCCGAGAATTGTGATCTCTCTGAACAGCGCATCCAAGATCTCTCTCCCAATCTTATCGCCGGCGATCTTCAGTCTGTTGCGCAGCCACTTCTCTGCTTTCTCAAACCCCGTTGACAAGATGACGATGATGAAGACTTCACCAAAGAAGAAGCTTGGTCTGCTGTTCACTTCCTCGGCCAGGACGCTGAAGACGGCCCTGCGCTGCACAAGCTGTGCACCTTCTGTTCTGCTTTGTCGGGAAGAAATATGGAAAAGATTTGTCGGCGGCAACTTTGTGAGGCTTGTGCCCGAGGAACGAGCAAGGCCGGCAGATTCGTGAACCCCAGGGGTGAATGCCTTCAGCAAACATCCTGGGACGGCACAACATAGCAGCGCGTACAGAAGGTGCACCTTGCGGCCATGAAGTGGAAAACGGCGCCGCATTTGGTGAACGCTCCCTCTCATCGTGGGAGGTTGGAGAAACCTACGGATGAAAGTTTGGGAGAGTCGGGGGATCTCAGGTGGGGATAGGCAAGGGCGTAGGTGCGTTGCTTAAGTCCGGGCTGTGTTGTTGACGAGGCCATCGTTCAATGACATCCATGTTCTACTCATCTCTTGAGCCTCCTTGGCAGGACCAAGACGTCAGTCAGAGGACTTCGTCACCCTCCGTGGCAACAGAAGCGCACAATAGCGCACAGTGTGTCACACAGTGCAAAAGCTGAAAGGCACCTGGGCCATCAAAGCTTTGCCTTTGGAGCATCAGACCTTAAAAGAGGCCCAGGGAAAAGAAGGGCAAAACCGATGGCGGGCGGAAGGCCGGGCCCCACCTGGCATCGCACGTGGAAGCCACGACAGCCGGGCTGGCGCTGGCGCTGCCGGTCGCAGCCAGTCCGGCCTTCAGAGGCAGGCAGAGCTCTTTGGAAAGAATCTAAGCACGACGGCGGCAGCCTTCTCGCTGAACAGAGATGCAGGGGCTATTGTCCCGTGCTTCTGTCGGAACTCGATGATCTGATCTACAGTCACCTGCCGAACGGGGGTCGTAAGTTTGGGTGAAGAAACGACCGGTCAGATGGCGTCACGAGGCCCAGGCGATCGGAATGTTGTTCGCACTAGCAAAGGCCAGGCTGTCATCGCGACGATACATGGTGCCATCATCGTGCATCTGCAAGATGTGTCGAAGCAATCCGACAGTAAATGTACACCGGAGTCACGCGCTTACTGCAGCTCTGAAGGTCCGCACCAGCTCTGCAAGGAGCCCCACTGGCGTCAGGCCAGCGAGGCGGCAGAAGTCGAAGGTCGATTCGGTGTGTCCTGCAGTGCTCCAGGGCTCATGTCATGGCCGCCGCTTACATCCGCTTCAGCTTTCAGCTTCGTCCTGGACGTTCGAGGACCCCACCGGGCCGAGCACAAAGAGGGAAGAGATGGCCCGGCTTGGAGAAGTCCTCTCGCGCCGGAAATTTTCACAAGAAGCACTCGTCTTTCTGTTTTTAGTTTCTCTTCCTAGCACTTGGTCCTCTGCCCGGTTGTTTAGGTCGCACATCGCCTCGCTTTCTGCGCTTTCCGCTCCGTCCCGAGATCCCTCTGCTCATGCGAATTGCCATGTCACGACCGAGGCACTCGGGCGGTGATGGCGCGATCTGATGCAGACACGCCTGTCGAAGTGGAGGGCAGGAAGTCCTCCGAGGCGCCAGATCTAACGAGAGCCGCTTCTCAGGCCCAAAGAGGGCCCAAGGCTGGGGCCGTAGACACGTAGAAGTTTGTGGCGTTGGCGTCCGTGTTTCTCTGCGTGGCCTCGGGAGTGAGCCGATCCGGCCGGATCTACACAAATCTCGAAAGCGAGCCTGAAAACGCATCAAAAAATCCAGCAGACACATTTTCCGTGTCGCAAGGAATTCGTCCGGCATACTGTTGCCTTTGAGCTCATTGCATTTGCTGCAGGCACAAACCAGGTTCACCGTCTTGTTCGTGCCACCTCGACATAGCGGAATCCAGTGGTCCACAGTGTCGCCAGGTGCACCACAATACCAGCATGTCTCAGAATCACGTGCCAAGATCATGGCACGGACCTGGAGAGGCATTTTCCAGCGGCTTTGCGATCGGAGTTGCAGGATCTCAGGCGGCTTCCACTTGGCCAAGTTGCCTGAGAAGGCGTGCGCATGCGTGCGCAATGGGGCGGACGACAGGAAAGACAGGAAACTTCAGCCTCTGAAAGACTCAACCGACTCGCTCGAACGAGCGGGCCTAGCCAACGACACCCCCGAATTGCAAAAAAACACTGAGATCGAGAGTTGGCTACACGGATAGCATCCCGAGCTGCTGGTGCATCGTAGCTCACAGTATGCAGTGGCCAAGGTCACACCAAGGCTTATGGAGTAAGCGCGTATTTGCAGTATGTGTCTAACATCGTTTAACCATATTCGGGCAGCCTGGACCGCGGATTGCAGCTCCCAGGGCTTCCAGCGCTATGCCCAGGGGATGTGCCGCTTCCGGGGCATCGCGTGCGACGAGCTTTTCCTGTGACGAGGGTCGTCTCCGACAGCTTAGGTAGTGCTAGCAGTCAGATCCGTTTCGGTCTCGACGAGGTGCACCCCCTCCCTTTTGCTTTGATGCTGCAGGTCTCTGTCTTGTGCACTTGGGTAGAGGAAGTGGCAATCAAGGCTCTCAGGGCTCGAAGTCTGAAAAAACAGACTCCTTCAAGGAAGCTATCGTACAGAATGACATTACACTGTTGCACCTTTATCATCATTTATCTCTCTAGGGGGCCACTGAGAGCATCTGTGCATCTCAGTCTATAGCGATCTGCAGTTGGCCAGTGGTAGTGCTGGTGGCCAGTTTCTCTCGGGCGGGCACGGGCCCTCAAGGCACTCCCTTTGGATGCTACCAATGAAGGGGCTTCCTGACATATCAGAAGTCAACAAACAGTGGTATTGGCTCGTAGGTCTCTTTGCGGAGTGCAACTGTGGTCTTTGTTGCGGATGCCCTCTCAAACAAAAAGGGTCATGGCGGTCACGGTAGGCAAAATGCCTATCCCCACGGCCTGTGTTGCCAACTGCCAGACCTGTGCCTTCCAATGAAGGCTCCTTGCAGTCGAGTCTCGGGATGTCAATCAAAACACTGAACAGCAAACTTGACCTGCAACGCAACAGGTTCCTACATTATATACACACATTACTTCAGGCTTATTCTGGGGCATCTGACGAGTCATGGAGCTTTGCCCCGAAAGACCATCTGTCAAAGGCGGGCGCTGGCTGAGATTGGAGAGGGCAGACCCTCTGGGAAGAGGACCCGCCACTTCGCCCAGCTTCAAAATGGAAACATGGAACCGGAGGCATCTCGATGCATCTTCCAGCCGGCAGTCAGTGCTGCGACGAAGCTATGCAGAGCTGTGTGGTTCCAGACATGCTGCGGCTAAGATGCATCTTCAAATCGAAACCACACGCAAGCAAAATCTCGATTTTTGCTTGCATGAAACAGGAACCCTGCAGAAGCATGTCCATCAGGGTCTGTCCGAGAGAGGACAGAACAACACTCAAGGTCTTTGTGCAGTCAAGTGAAAAAACCTTTGCGCTGGGAGGTGCAGGCAGTTGGCCGCGCTCCATTACATGACCGAGCTGGGGAAGGGAGAAAAGGTCCACCCCCATCCGGTCACGCAGAGCTTGCACCCTCCGCAGTGCAAGCCATTCTCTCGACAGCACATTCCCCATGCATGCTTCCACTGAAACAGGACTGAGCATCTGCCGGGCAGTCGTGCGCGTATTGCCTCAATCTGTCCCTTGCCTTCGCCAAAACCAATGACATTGACGCAGACTGCATAGCAAAGGCTTGAGTCACATCCTGGGGTGGCTCATCAACGTCTCAGATGACAAGCAGTCCTTGGTAACCCTAGCACCAGAAACTCTGCAAAGGCGCACACCTGCATGTCCGAGTCACCCCTGTCGAGGTCCAGTCCGTAGATTGTGTCCAGTCCATATCCAAAATGAAACTACCAAGCACCTCGTGCACAGTTGCACAGGGTGAAGATGTCCAACGGTGCACTTCAGACTTGAGTCCCGGGCTCGCTGGCTTGGTCTAGATGGTTCGAACCAGCAGCTGCTTTTGAAGAAACAAGGCCTCAGCCGTGCTGGAAACACACCGAATGTGCTGTGGCAGCCACAAAACACAAGAAGAGACGAGGAGAAAGGAGAAGCGGAGAGAGACGGGGAGTTGTGGACGCTTCAAGGCGCGAGTGCAAAAATAGGACAGGGCCGGCCACGGCACCGCGAACTGTAGCAAATCGATTGGGGAAGGTCTGTGCTCAAGGCGCCGGGGGAACATGCGTACTCGTTGCTTTTAAAGAGGACACAGCAGATCACAATTAAGCCCGAGCCGGGCTTTCAACGGATTGCAGCTTCCTTGCAGGGCTGTGTTTGAGAAGCTCCTGCCGTGATTAAGGGCCGTGCAAGACAACCACACAGAAGCAATGTTTTGATGCCGCCCAGGACTCGCAAGCCTTAGGTGGCTGTAGAAGGCAAAGAATGGCTTGAAGCTGGGCCTATGAGTATGAGGCTTTAGAAACTGCGAGCCGAGCCCGTGAGTTTAGGGTCTCGGATGTCTTGGCCGTAGCGGCGAAAGAACTGCCAAGTCGCTAGTGGCTTCACTCGATGTGAGGAAAGTCCACCGCTTCCATATGTTTTTTTTCATAAGCGTAACTGCCACGCATCTGCGCCCTTCATGCTGGTCGATGAACCAGTGGCTCTCATGCGGATTCACCATGTCATACAAGTCCGAATCTATGACTTGCCCTCGTAGCTTCAATCCAACCCGTAGCTTGCTCTCAGTCAGATCGATCTCTACATGCTTTTCCTTGAGGGTTTCGTCCACGGGAACATATAGTCGAATCTCTCGTCCGTCCTTTCCAGCCTCTTCCCACTGGTAGCTCATGAAGCGCCGGGCCGTTCGAGCTTGGCTCATTCGGGACAAACTTCTCTTCGAGGGCTGAAACCACCGAGTGACCAGGGTCGCCATTGCCATGGCCAGCATCGACAAAAGACCTGCAGCCCCATTCGAGCGCTTCGCCTGAGGCTTGCTTTCAATAATCGTTTCGGCAGTGGCTGTAGCCGTTGCTGTAGCCTGCCGTGCTGTACGCACTGGCTCCCTGAGGTTCAGGCTGCCCTGCGATATCGGTGGAAGAGGGACTTTGGGCCCTTGCATCTGCAGATGCAAGGCATCTGCCACCTTAACGTCTGAGTGACCAGCAGCTTGGAACTTGCATTGTCGCGACAGGACTCGTGCAGCCGGGGCACTTGTGATGCAGCATACTTCCGAGCGGCCACTGAATTAAAGGGTCCAGAGCGTGGCAAGCGGCTCATAATTGCAGTTAGCTATAGTCTCACGTTGGAGCTCTTTGGATTGTGGAGCACTTGCCCAACTGTCCGTCTTGGGCCAAATTGGCTCCTGGCTAAACCTGTCTGCACTTGCACATCTCACTGTTCCATCAACCCTCTACACTACTTGCTTGCGGGTGCATCAGTGCATCCAAGACTCCGCAATGCCCGAGAAGCGGGCTTGGAGGGCTTTCCGCATGGCGACAGGCGCGTTGTCGTGGAAAGACACCAGAAGGCTTTCCAGTGCAGCAAAGACATCACGTGATGAAGGATCCCCGGCTAAGGACAGGGCATTGCAAAGCAAATCGAGTATCTTTGAGACGCTCTTCTCATCACGTAGAACTCTTGGAAGAAACGAGTTGCAAACGGCTTTGGCCTCTTCTATAGCCTTGTGAACAGCTTTGGAGCCTTCACCCTTGCCACCGGGCCCTCGTACGAGATCGGCAGACACGGACGTAGTGTGGACCCAGTGGCGCACCACATCCCCAGTCGATTGGATGTTGAGGTTTTCGAAATACGCTGTCGTCTCCCGCTTCGCTGTTCGCATCAATCTCACGACCCGGGAAGTAGCGGCACCTCGCCAAAGATAAGCACACGGCCTGACAAGAGCAACATGACGGACATGCTTGAAGACGTGATGACTGTCTGACTGACTGTCGTGTGTGGAATCATACAAGTATTACGAGTAGTCAGTGTGATGGGATACGTCAGACAATGTCGGACACGAGAACTCTGGAATGCATTTTGCCAACAACTCTGCTCCATCCATAACGAGAGGACCGCTGGCACACTGAACTCGGCCAAGAGCAAACATTAGAAGCTTCGCAGTGAAATTGCAGTTAGATGTTGGAAGGCCTGCAGCTCACACCATCGTGAGACTTCCTCGCATCGCTTCTCAAAAGAGCCCGGCTTGCCCTGCCTCAGGCTGGACAGTGCCCCCCAGGCTGCAACTGCCAGAAATTCCCATGGCAAACCAGTTTCGGCCGACTGCACAGACTTCACGAAGCGGTCAGCAGCCGGGATCTTCAGCGATCTGGGACTGCAGGTCCAAGAACCGCTGAAACCGGCACGCGGTGCTGCCGGAGCCCACATGATGGAGCACCACCCGAATCATGCATGTCACCGGTTTCTTCCTGAAGCTGCGTTGCACGGTATATACAGCCAAGAATGCACACTGGAGTAGCACAAACCACCCTGGCAAAGTTGCTCCGACCAGGCTTGTGCACAAAAGGCAGCACAACTGCAAAACGCAAATAGCCGTCTACAGAAGGTGATACACTGAGGCCGAGGCAGGGTGGAGCCCGAATTTCTCTAATCTCGCCTGGCATCAAAGAGCCGCTAGACTGCAACTTCCACCTTTCAAAGCCGTGGCCTTGTCCGCAACGATACAAACAATTCCCGTCGTGTGGCGGATTGCAAAGGCCATTTGCGAGGCCTGTCAAGGCCCGTTCGTTCTCCAGGACTTCTCTGTTCTCGTAGACACGTCCTCCCTCAAAATTCCATGTTTCTACAAGCCAGGATTGAGATATGGACGGTGACCATCTCTGCCGGAAAAACGAGATCACATTCATCCTTGACCATGCGCAGTCGTTGCCACGAAGCACGTGCTTTCAATTGACGCTGCAAGCTGCACTATATCCTCGCGCTCGTCACTGTCCATAACCATCACAAATTCACCTCGTCTGAAGGCTCGCAGCGCTTCCTGTCAGGCCATGACACTGACAGGAAATTCACGTTGAAGTACACAGAGAGAGCAAAGAAGCCTGCATGGAAGACCAAGGCATCGCGAAATCCCACAAGGCCAACAGCCTGGACCAAGAAGTCGGCATCAAAAGCAAGCAAGACAACGTCTAACGTCTTCCGTGTCCCTACGTGCAGATCAGTCCCCCCCCCCTTGACCCACCGGTTCCGCCTCGATGGCAGACGGGGCAGCGACAACGATCTCTAAGCAGCTGTCCATTCGGCAGCAGGGCGGGCTGAGTGCGCTCACAAGCAGAAGCCCCATTTTCAAAGTCAAGCCGCAAAATTGGGAGCCCGTGAAAGTTTCCTCCTGGTCTTTTTGTTGCGCCCTCCTCATGAAACGTAAATGCCTCGCTAGGCAGCGGCTGGGCGCAGCTTCGAGGATGTGAAACGGCCACATCGCGATCTCACTAGGGCTGATGAACTGAGTTGAGCTTTCAGCATCATACGATATCATACCCGCCCAACTCAGCAGATGCTGGCCAATTCACAATAATGCTCTACCTACCTACATACAGTACTTGCGGATTCACTTTGCTTCTGCACGAAGTATGTTTCGCACCTCTTGCACCTGCTGTGCACGAGGCTATGCTGGTGTGACTGGTGTTGCAACACTGACCAGACCTTTTTGTAGCCACCCTCTGCGTGGGCGTTGGCCAACCGCCGACAATCGTCTTCAGCGATGTCCTTCTCAAAGCGGAGTGGTCCTCCGGACATGCCAATCTTCAAATTCTGCTCGGACTGGATGACCATCACAGCACCGTCCTCTGACACAGATCGTGCCAGGTCGCAAAGGAGGCAGGCGTGGAACGTAGATCTCAGACAGGTACGTTTGTGCCTCGGAGGGACAGTAGGCCAGAGAAGGACTCCAGTTCTAAGATGTTCCAGGCTCAGGGTGCGGACCCCTGCTCGAGTCACGATGCCATCGACAACCTTCGTTTCAACCTCTCCACCTTCGCGCATTTCGAAGACAAACAGCAAGGGCGACTGCTAGCTGCGACTGGCGGCGAGCGCCTTTGGAGTCAGAGTTGTCGGCTGGCATCTCGTTTTTGGTCGGAGGATCCTCTGGCTCCAACCCGGCCACTGCGACGGACTAAGAGCGCTTGCTGAAAGCTGTCCTCGCTGGGCTGGGACCCCAAACCGGATTTCGGCTCCTGCGCTTAGCATCGTGAAGCCAGCAACATTTCGAGAGCTCGTCTTCCGTGCCCTGCATGTCCCGAGGCAGGGGAGATCGTCTGTCGCTGTTCGTCCTCGACTGAGAACCGACTCATGAGACAAGATAAGACGTCGCACGGTCACACGATATCGCTCCTGCCACCTGAGCCTTCCGCACGTGGCCTGGCAACAACCACATGTCGTGCCACACAAGGCTGCATTCTTGCTTAACAGTTCCTCGAACTGCGGGTGAGCGGCGACCGCCTCGCCAAAGCTCTTCGAGACAGGCTTTACTGCATGCTGAGAGCGATCGAGGCCACAACTAGCATGATGTGAAGCCAAGTAGCTGTCGAGAGTCATCTCGACGTCTGAAGGACGGAGACCTGGGGAGATGGAGAATGAAGAAGACGAATCATTGAATCCCAAGGTTGTCGAAGTGCTTGATGCTGTGCATCTCCCGGCACCTGCGCCGGTCTCGGCCCCCTCCCCTTCGGTCACCGCGGCTCCTGACAAGAAACGACCACTCCAGTCTGGGTGGGCATCGATCATTGAGACCCTTGGTGCACCTCGACCGCGATGGAGAGAAGTAGGGCATCTTGGAGATCTTGGAGCTGCTCTTTCAGGGAAGCCTGCACCGGTTTCTGAGGTTTCTGCTTCCGCTCTGCCAAACGGTCACGGTCGCCTGTGAGCAGCTCAATCTCCCGTTTCTAAAGGCATTCTGCATGCCCTTTGAAGCTTCAAGGCTGCGTGAGGCATGCCGATATCAGAACCCGCGCTGTCTATTCACAGATTGCCACGACTTGAGTGCGGTTCTTCAGTAGCTTGCAAGCAGAGCGAGGAAGCCCACATGTCGAAGAACCGGAGCGAAGCCGCGCTTGTAACGTGTCTCGGGGTCTCGGGACGAATCTTTTCTCTCCTCGATGCCCTGAGCCACTTCGCGTTTTTGCTTGACCCTGAAACTTGCACACATGATGCACACTCTTTAAAGATACTTGTATCTCGAGCGACTGCCATCGCACCGGTCTTTCATTGGAACGTGGGACCCGTTTCGAGCAGGATTCATGCTGTTTGTTTGCCAGATCTGCCCCAGAAAGCCGCGAAGGCGCTGCCGACAGCGGCGCTCCAGACCTGAAGTTAGAACGAAAGAGTGGACCTGAACTTGCCCGGTCGGGAAGGCTAGTGCCCGAGGCAAGGGCAACGCTGACAGCAGCTGGCACGCGGACCTCGCAGTCGTCTGCCACAAGCGAACGTACCAGCGAAATGCTGCGAAGTGCCGAGAGAGTGCTGAGAGAGTGGCGAGGAAGTTCTGAAAGTGGAGCACAGCCAACAGGTAGCCCACGGCCTCTGCGAAAGCAAGCCCACAGCGGCTCGGCTCCCTCCGCTACAGCGGCTCCGCTCCGAGTCTCGGACGCTGCTCTTCATGGAGGTTTCGATGGCAACCGTTCGGCAAGCTGCCGTGCTTAACCTCTGCGATACAAAGAGCTCACGGAAGCGTCGAAACACCAGACCTTTTAGGCCGCTTGCGTCAGATCACGTCAGGATACATCAGGTCTTTTCCTTGAGGTGCGCTCGCAACTCTGCATCCGAGGGCTCCTGGGAGGGAGCTTGACCAAGCCGGACTGGATGGTCGTCCTCGGAATGGGAATCGGAAGGACAACGTTGAGTCGCTTGCCCTCCAAAGCTGACCAACAGAAGCAAGAACACTTCACTACGCGTGTGTCCGTCCCAGCATCGGCGGTGTAAAAGAGGTTGAGGGTCAGTCGGCCATGCAGCGGGTTGGATGACAATTGCTGAGCCACTGTTTTCGGAATATTCGCCTTGTGCAAGACCCAGGCTGGATAGAAGATGATCCGATTCTGCAGCACATCTCGCTGGAATACGAGTTGCGCATGCGATTCGAGAGGCCCTCCATCAGATGCATATTGAGCCAAGGACAGCAGCTTGTACTTGGCCATATCGGGGAGACTTCGAAGTTGCATGGTGCCCCCAAGTGATCTCGCCGCATAGAATCCGACACTCGTTCCCCGAAAATCATTGAGACCCATGGTAGCAGCGAAGCTGGCGGCGTAGTCAATGTGCGGGAACTTCTGGCTTGAAGTCCAGTTCGTCTCCCCTTCTGTCAGTAAGCGAATGAACGAGGCAGCTGACGTTGCGGGAAGCTGAAACAAGTTCAAGAGTTGGTGGTCGCGAACAGCTGGTGCGAGACAGGTCTCAACATCGCGGCGCAGAGCACTCGGCACTCCCTGGGAGTCCAGACCAGGAAATGCCAGCCTCGAAGGCTCAAAGACGAGCTGCGGCCGTCTCCGGCCTCCGGAAAGTAACAGCAGCAGAAGGCTCAGAAAAGGCACAACAAGACTATTTCCCCCTGCACCCTTCTAAGGAACTCGGTCAGGCCTTGGGAAAGAAGCCTGCGCACCAGTGCTGGCAGCCCGCAGACGAGGTTGTCGATGCTTATCACACTGGGCCCATGGAGACCTAAATGGAAAACATCGTAGCCACGACCACAGCACTGTCGCCGGGTGGAGGCCAGGGCGCGATACTCATGCCATGTAGGCACGGAATTGATTCCGGCCATGGGGCAACAGGAACGTGCAGGCAAACAGGATGACCCAGGCACCGACCACCGTGGGCGACCAGCCATTCGCAAGCACTGCAGCTTCCGCAACTCTTTGCAGTTCACATTGCCATCAGCGTCCTGTGCTGTCAGCTGGCTCTTGCATCCTCGACTCTTACGATTTCGTGCCCGACGGCATCGCTGTCCAACGGAGGAGCTTTGCCCTTGTTGCAGTGCCTACTCCACACAACTTCATGCGACCACTGCCGCAATCTGCAGAGACATCTGCCCTCAAACATCCCGAACTTGCCAAGACTTGCCCGAAAGAGTAGGCGAACGAAAACCCACTGGACGCGCAAGTTCACAAGTAAGCTTTCATGCATTCCGCACCGTGCTGAGGCATCCACCCTGCCATTTGTGAGATCACGTAGCCAGACAGGCCTGGAGCTCTTCCAGACACGGGCTGAAACGGCACTCTCACGTGATCGTGCAGATCCAACCAGGGGCATCCAGGGGACCTCCTAGAAGATGAAGGCCCAGGATTGCCAGCTGCAGCGGTGCGCCTTGGGGATCAGCCCGCGAAATCCCTGCTTCAGCTTGAGAACTAAAGCCTGAAAGGATTAGAGGCTAGGATGCCAGGATAGGCTAGGCAGGAGCCTGCTGACAGGATGTAGGGTCGGCAGGAAGCCACGGAGGAGCCCACCTGAGCCAAGTAAGAAGCACGGGACTCCTGGGCCGAGCCTCAGCGCAGGAACACCCGGGAGCCCGGCGATGATGCAGGTCGCAAAGACCCCCAGCACGGGAGTAAGCTTTGCCGCCCTGAAAGCAAAGGAGGAGTCCAGCATTCCGCCCTTGTCTTGGCACCCGGGCGGAGCCTCTCTGAGGTGCTTGGAAGCCACTGTTTGAAGGCGAGGCCAAGGACTGTGGGAGCCAGCACCACCTGAACCGAAGGAACCCAAGCTCCAAAGCCCACACGGCTCTGAGATCTCGACCTTTACAGTGGACAGGATGATCCCCACCGCATCCACGGAGACAACTGTGCCCAGCAGTAACTTGGCCTCGGCAGGTCGCATGGGGCCGATGTGATCGCCGTGGACTGCGAGCTCAGCACAGAGCCAGCAGCGGCGTCGCCACGATGCAGAGCAAGGTAGTGGACATAGTCATCAAGACACTGAGGGCCACGTCCCCTTTCGCCTGACGGCGAAAAAAACACACCTAACTAAAACGACCTGCGAACGCCTCAGGCCGCTGCTATCAGTGTGCACAGGTTTGAGGTGTGGCCACCGTTGATCGACCCGATCAGCACCAAGCCAGCCAGGGTTGGCGCATCGGCACTGCAGGCAGGCGGGGCGAGCCGAGCGCGCAAGGGACACGTGGACACACGTGCACATGGCCCACAATCCCACACTCGCTGCACCACGCCCGGGAATCCCTAAGCTGAAGAAGCCCGTTTTTGCACCTGATCAAGGCGGCCAAAGTGTATGCCAGCGCCTGCCAGCTTGGGAAAGCTTGCAAAAGCTCTTGCCGAAACACCCGCGACGAAATCGGGCTTAGGCTACCACCGGCATGAGCAAGAAGCAGGCGGCTGCATTGATGACCTTGCGACATACAGGCATGAGCCACGAGTCCCGTACCACGGAGCGAATATTTTTCTTGTCTATTTTTCTACCACCAAGCGTTTCGCCCGCTCAGCGCTTCACCACGGCTGGCCAGTTTCTGATGCTCGAGCGAAAATCATCCACTGATGTGGTCAAGCCTCGGACTCTGGGCCAGAATGCAGCGAAGACAAAAAAAGGTGGTCTAGCGCGAAACACCTGCAGGCGAGAGACCCACGCTGAACATTAAGAGGCCCAGAAGCCATGTGAACCATTCCTGGTTCACCCAAGTGAAAGTCCTTGGTTGCGGTCTGGGAGACGGTTTCCATGGCAAACAACTGAAGCCCTGAACTGTCGACCAAGCATCTCTGGGCGTGCCACAGAAACCAGAGTCACGAGAACCAGCCAGAGCACAAAGTAGTCATTGAAGCGGGAAACAAACCTCGTGAAGGCATCAGGAAACAAGTTCAGCACTGAGGCTTCTTTTGGAATTTATTCACTTGTCGGGCATTCGGCAGGTCTTGACAGGTGTTAAATCCCGCAGAAAACACCACAGCAATGCATCGGTCCCTGCGAAGTTTGCTGCCGGGACGCCGCTCAGCCACATCAAAGGCCTTCAGACACATGCGACACATTGACGGATCGGCCCCCCTGCAAACCAAGCCCCTAGAATCCCATGGAAAATTCCACTGCAGTGGTCAGGCCCGGGCCTTCTCCGCGGTTGCCCGCCGAGCAGCCCGAAAATTGGGTCGACAAGCAGCAAGTTTGTTGAAGCTGCCAAGTGCCAGCAGGCTTGCCGACAGTCTCCACTGCCAGGCCGGAATGCACCAAACGGGATCCCAGCGTTGCAGCTGCAATGATCTGCGAGGCCTAGCGTCACTTCGTGACGGGCTTCGGTCGAACAGCGAGTGATGCCCGCACGGCTGCACAGGAGAGACCCGCTGCATGATATAAGACAACTACATTCCAACGAGCAATGTTGAAGAAGCACATGGTACTTGCATGGCTGACCTGCGCTTGGTAGAGTCTGAATGCGTCTGCTCCCAACATGTAGTCGCCCAATATGAAAGAAGGGCATCGAAATCATGGAGGGATTCTTCTATCCTGCTTGTAGCGTTTCTGCCAGGATGCTGCAGGCTTGATCCTCGTCCATCCCTCCAATGGCTGCGGACCAGCAAGCTATCGCCACCTAAAGCTTACGCACAAAGTCTTCGGATCGGGACCAGGCTTCAAAACAAGCTCTTTTGCATCATGCCAATCTGGCAGTCCGGAGTTCAAAGCAATCATGCAGCTGCGAGCCGTCACGCTTGTGGCGCACCTCAAAGAGGTGGACGACATCGTCAAACGAAAGCAGCAAAGACGCGGCAGCTCATTGGATGGTTCCTCTGGAACTAATACGGCGTGTTCGTCTCAAGTAGCGCCATGTGCAGGGGGTTACACCCAATGCGCCGCAGTCGCTATCATTCACCGTGGTCCTGTCGGGACCTTCCTGGGTGCGAGAGGTGAAACATGTGCCTGTTTCCCGCCTGTGTTAGGCGACAACGAGCCACTCACAGAGCTGCTTTGCAGGCCTCCCATATACCCAAACACAACAGAACCGCATGGCATAAAAGCTCTTGGCCGCACAAAGTTTTAGGCTCTTTGATAGTAACAGGTCAGAAAAACCTGGTGGACGAGCTTTGTCTTGGGTCAGGACACTGTATCTCCTCAACTCCTGAAGCAAAGAGTCACTACAGCGCCCGGCCTGCTCTTTTTGTTCTGCCTGTCCAACGAAGCCGTCATGGCCGACTGAGCACATATGATCGATCACCTGCAACATCAAAGGGGGAGGACAAACAAACGCACTAGCTCACTACAAAAAACGAGGCCGAGATGCAATGACTGAACACATGAGCTTGAGCTTGCTCGCAAGACGGTGCTTGCTCACATTCAAGAACATGCAAAGCTCCCAATATAGGTATTGACGCACCTTTCCCTTTAGGTATCAGGCGGCATCATGTCCATGCAGAACAGTTGTACCGAGTGGCGAGGCCAACAGGAGCATCCGGAAAGCGGCCCTGCCAGTCCTGGGCCACATCCCGGGTTCTTTTTTCAATCTTCCAGAAGGTCAGAGGCATCCCCTCCTCGGTGCACTCCACCCGGACAGCAGCCGCGATGCAGTCTCCCCAGAGCCTGTGCAGAGACTGCTTGGTCTTCTTGCCAGCACCGGAAAGAAAGGCAATGAGGGCCAGGCCCAGCCAGGAGGCCTGGCAAAGCCAAAGTGGAGAAAACATCGCACCGAAATATGCGATCGACCGAGCCTGCGCCATCACACTCCGGCTCCACGCCGGCGAGCACGTCTTTCCAGCTTCCGTCCGTGAATGCTGCGTACATGTCCACAGCTTGCGGCGCGGCCGGTGGAGCTGGCGCTCCAGAGTCACCGTCGAACTCCTCGTAGTCTGCATCTGACGCATTGAAGCTATTGATGAAGCTCTTGTAGCCATCACCCAGGGGCTTGTCTGGAATGGAAATCTGGTCAATGCTCTCGGGGAGCGGATCCGCATTGAAGTGGCCAGGGTCGTTGATTCGAGTCGTCATCTCCCGGACGAAGTCGTTCCAAGTGATTTCACCGGTACCACTGACATCCCATTCGTGGAAAGTTGCCACAAGGTCCGGACCATCATCTCCAGGTGGGAAGCCACATGCATTGGTCAGGTCCCACAGGCCTGGAATGTCCAGGTTCGGAGCGCAGCTGGACAAGGAGCCGTAGTACAAAAAGGCGTTACCCATGGCCTGCTCGAGCATTACTCATTCTGGTGACATGGCACACCACAGTCACGGAACACAGAAAACTCGCAGAATGCAGCTTGGGCTTGGTCCTGCTGGTCCTCCTCGCCGGGAATGATGTTGTCACCTTTTTCTCGGCGGGCTTTGCAGAGCTTGTTGAAGGTAGTCGTGAACTTGAGAATCTCAGCTCACCGACGTGGAACACCAAGACATCCCCCAATCCCCCATCTCTCCCCAAGAGTCTCTGTTCTCATGTAGCCTGTCTAGAGCACTCCGCAGTCCGGGCCCCCCGGCTCCATCCTCTTTGGTCATAGGCGGCGCGATGCTGAGGCCAACCTCCTGGCCTGAGAAGCGCTCGCAGCGCCGATTCGCCAACCGCACCAATGTGTCCTGTCAGGTGATGAAATTCACCGTCTACATGGGCTCATCAACCTTTGAATGCCGCACAAGACGAGACTCCCGGCTCTACGGTTCTAAAGGGTGCATTGAAGGATCATGTCCGGAAGAGAACTCCTTCTGGTGCAAGGAAATACGCTGAAAACCTTTAGGTCCTTGTAATCGTTGTCCCCACACTCGCTGGCGATCCATGCAGCCAGACCCCGACCATCTAGCTCCTTGAAGTGCTCTCGGACTTCATCCATGCGCTCTTTTGCAATGCACATCCAGTTGATCAACAGGTTGTCAGATGTTCCCAGACCCTTCATCGAGGAAAGTAAGGCTTCTGCCCATACTCTTGGGGGAGGCTTGACCAACGCGAGCAGCGCACGCTTGTAGTCACCACTTGTATCACCTTCAATGGCCTTGTAGATGTCACCCCCGTTCTTGATTTCCTTGTACTTGTCCACGAGATCGCGCCGCTGTCGCTCTGACAGATGGACAAGCAAGGTGATGAGACCTGTGTCGTCAGTTCCCCAACCGACGATGCAATCCCGGACAGCACAAGCGAGCCGTTCAGAGGGCGACCGCATCAAACCCAGCATAGCCGCCCTGAAGTTGGGTGTCATGAACATGCTCATTCCATAATCCCAGGTTTCGCTGTCGATTCTCGCAAAGAGATCTTCCCCGAACTTCTCTTGGTACTTCTCCTTGAGGGTCTCCATCTGTTGGGGTGTCTTGCCAGCAACAATCTGTATGATTGCCTTTTCATTGGTTCCGATTCCGTCCATGGCCTTCTTCAGATTCTCACAATCTGCGTCATAGTCGACTGAGGCCTTGGGGTGTGTGCATTTCAGCACAGCGACGAGGATGTTCTTCAGGTTTCCACTCGTCTCAGACTCGATGTGCTGAATCAGGTCTCGGTTGAACCTCAAGGCGGTGCTTAAACTGCTAAACTCAAAAAAAAGACGTACCGAAATGCATGCAAGGAAGCATCTTCTTGTAGGTTTCCCGGATGACGGCCCGCTCCTGCAGAGGCGCTTAGGCTCAGGGGCAAAGAACCCCCCCTCCCCCTCACCGTCAGCAGCCGCTGCCTTGAAGGTGGAACAGATGATGATTCGAACCAGCTGATCTTCGGATGTGCCCCAGCCAGCCATCGCACCATGCAAGGCGGTTGCGCGACTCTCTGCCCAAGGCATGGCCTCACCGCCAAGGGCACCCCGAGCTTTGCACGCAAAATGAAGCAGGCGCCCCCACGGCCTGGCCTGGTACTTCAGGACCTTCTTGTAGTTGAAGGAAGTCTCTGACTCGATATGATTTACAAGTTTCCTTCCAAGGGCCGCACGTGAAAATAAGATCAGCTCAGTCCGAGAGTCTGGATGAGTCTGGCTCTGGCCTCTCGTGGGTCTTTTCGTAGAGGCCATGGATTTCTTCGTAGAGGTTCTCAGGCAAGGTGCACACCTCAGGCACGAGTCAAAGCTTGGGTTCCCTCAAAGAGAGGACTTTTCTTCGGTCGTGATGCCAAGCCCGTAAGAGTGTATTCATCTGTGCCCCAGCCGTGCATGGCGTCCCAAAGCCCCTTCACCTTAGAAGGACTCGGTGGATAACAGAACGTGTTGTGCCTTTCTGGACTCGACCACAGGGACTGAGACTTGCACGTACAGCTCCACTGGCATGTAGAGAAGAGACATCATTGCATGCTTCCACCAGTTCGTGAAAAAGAAGAAGGTCCCCTTCTCGCTGCATTTCTTCTCCACCTGAAGCGGTGATCTCGCAGCTTCCCGACTTTCAGGCACCCGCGTACGAAGCCCTACACTACCCTGCAATAGCTTGCCTGTGCTCTGTTTTCTCTCTACACAAAGGAGGATCCATATGGACTCCAGGCGCGGGCCTCTTCCTTCAAAGAGGCACCATACACCGCCTCGTACAGCTGCGTGTGCCGCTTGATGGCCGTTGCCGGCATCGAGACAAGAACCTCTTTCACTGTGTCAACCTCAGCGCGCTTTGCGACCAGAACCGCCATTTCAAAATGGAAAGGCCTCTGCTCGGACCCTGCAACACAGTTTCGACTTGCATGGGCTCCAGACATTGAACAAGGCATCCTTGCAGCGCTGCGCCCAGTAGACAGGGGCGATACTGATGGTCTCCTGAGAGCAGGGGAGAAACTCTGAGGCAGACCAGGCAGCGGCTGTCATGACCAGAGTTTGAAAGAAGCTCACGACTTTCAGTGTCAGTCATCGTGTGATATCGTGGGGCTCATAGCTCTAAATTCTAAACTTCTTGGGTCTTCCGCCAGTGTGCGTGGAGGTCTTGAGGTCTCTCCATACAACCACGGGTCTCCTCGCTGTTTCGTCCTGCCAGCATGAGCAGCGTGTTCTTGTAGTCGCCGGAGGTCTCCGACTCGATCCAGTCTTCTAGCATCTTGTTGTTCAGAGTGTGGAAATGCTTTCTGACATCCATCATGTCATCCTTCGCCAAAACCATGAAGTTGATCAAGAGGCAGTCAGCCGTGCCCAAGCCTTTCATGGCACCTGTCAAGGACTCCGCCCAAACCTGTGGAGCGGGCTTAACCAGGTTGCACAATGCCTTCTCGTAGGCACCGCTGGTGTCGGCCTTGATGTCCTTGAAAATATCGCGTCCGAACTCAAGGTTGTACTCCTTGATCAGGGCGGCCTTCTTGAAGTCTTCCAAGTGGACCAGGCAAGTAATGAGTCCCTCATCGTCTGTTCCCCACCCTTTCATGCAGTCCCTCACTGAGTGGGCCAACTGCTTCATGGGATGACGGATGCATCCGACCAACCTCAGT